ATTGGGCTACACAGGGGTTCACTACCTCAGTAATGCATTAAAGGATAGGAGATATTTTCAGTAAACAAATCTGCTTGAGAAAAGTGATTATACTATAATTCTACTGTCAGTCAACCTATAGTGTATGGAGATATTTGAAGCATGTACATACCTCTGAAATAAAGAATTTTATTACTTGAAAAAAAATCTGCTTGACATTATTTAACCCAGTATTTCTCCAACTATTCTAACTATTTAATAGTCTTTTCACAGAGCACCTTAGTAGTAGAGTAAGTCCTCACTTAACAGTTATGGAAAAAGGAAAAAGAAAGCATAGTAATAGAAAGGTTCTTGGAAACCACTAAGTATAACAAAAGCAACTTTCCCATAAACTAATTGAAAAGAAAAAGAGTTAAGTTCCTACAGCATATTTCTGGTCACAAAAATATCACCAAACTTCTCAATGAAGATCCAAAATCCTTTTAATATAAAGCAATCATTTGTATTCATTCATGTGTTCCTTTTCCAACCCCCCTTTTTCAGTTTAGAGTCACAGAGTGGCCACAGACCATTCCATTGGTTCAGGGAACAAGACAGAAACCCATCCTGGACAGGACGCCCCTCCATTGCATGGCGTATCACACCCACACACACTCACTCTGTGGAAAAGAAAGACTTCAGGTGGGTAGTGGTGAGTCTATAATGGAGAGAGGTGATAGACAGGAGAGGTGACAGGGAGGGTGAGTGGGAAATAAATCTGATTCTGAAAATAGCTTGAGAGTTAAAAATACAACTGGAAATCAGGCTTGGAAACAAATTCATTAGCTTGTTGAGTGAATTCAGTAATGAAATCAATCTGGTTCTTTTTAATATGATTTTTCCTCCTGAGAATAATCAGCAGAACTCTAAGAACAGTTTGCCAACGTCCTCCCATATTTAATTACACATAATTCTGTGCCATACACAGAGGAAGAGACAGGAACAGGGGTTTTGACTTCATGGCTTCTATTCCTATGCTAAGGTAGCTGAGTTCACAGGTTGGGACAAGCCACGTGAGGGAAGCCATTGTCTTGCCTGATAGAGAAGTAAATTTTGTGGCTGTTTTGGTTATGATTTTTGATCTAGATTCAAAAGTTCTTCCCTATGGAACTCACTTGAAAGAACTTGGCGGAAGGTATCGGGAGTAATGAAAGTTTTTATAGGCGTGCTTCTTAAGCAAACAAAAGTTTGTGCTTACCCTGGCAGGACATTACCTTTGTGACAGTTGATGAAATCTTTCTTAGAGGCAGAAGGGGGATAGTGGGGCATTGTGGATTGGGCCGTACCTCTCAAACATGTAGGAGGCAGTGGATTGGTTGATTTACAGGTGTGTGCATGTAGGGAGGGATTTTAGGGTAAGTTTCCAGTGAATCTTTCCTAAGGATCATCCTTTGGTCAAGTGTCATGTGCGGTCATGTCTCACCATAGATGTCAGTTTCCTCATTCTGGAAGATGCACTGTTCTCCGCTGCTTTCACCTGCTCTCCACACCCCTGCAGGTGGGAGCTCCAGAAGACACAAAGGCGAGCGAGCTAGGGACACTTTGTTCTGCCGCCTCCTACCAGCTGCACCTTCTTACAACCTCATTAGCGAGGCAAACATGAGCACACGAACCTGTGTGCCCCCACGAGTCGATTAACATATCAGGTCGGCGTTTGTGATAAAAAAAATGGGAAAACAGGGACGAATAGAGATATCAGACATTTAGCCTCTGATTTCCTGAAATAATTATTTTTCTTAAGTATCCATTGCTAGTTTGAAAATATTTACCTACATTTCCTAACTCTAGATAATATTTGCTCACAGATAATCCCTTTCAAACTTTGTATTGATACATACTATCCATATAAGCTAAAATTACAGCTCACTGAATTTTCAAAACTTCAACACATGCCAGCACCCAGATCAAGAAAGAGAGTCATCCCCACCCCAGAATCCCCTTCCCCCATCACATTCCCAACCCTACAGGTTACCAGCAGCCTGCCCCAGCAGCAGAGATTCTTTTGGCTCGCCTTTGAACTTTACATAAATAGAATCATGCCATGTGTGCTCTTTCTTCCTGACTTTCTTTAGGTCAGCATTCTATTTGTGAGGTCCATCCTCACCACTGTGTGGAGTTATAGATTGTTAATTCTCATTGTTGCAACGTGGTATTTATCCATTCTCCTGTTGACAGACTTTTGGGTAGTTTCCAGTTCAGTGTTGTTACAAGTGCTGCTATAAACTTTCCAATTCATGTCTTTCCATTAAAATCAGTATATATTTGGGGGGTTATCTCTCTCAGAAATTGCTAGGTGCTAGGTAAGTATGGTTGAGCTTTAGCAGATACCACCACACAACCTGTAGTTGTGCCAATATGCCCTTTCACCGGCAGTGAAAGTGGACCTAGATGGAAACCCTCCCTCTTGGGAGATGTAGTATATTCCAGTGGTTAAGAATTCAGATTCTGGACTGGGATTATCTGGGTTCAAATTTCAGTTTTATCATTTAATAAGTACGTGATCTTAGGTACTTTATGTAACCCTTCTGTGCCTTAGGCTTTCATCTGCAAATTGGGGACACTAGTCATCTACCTCACAGGGTGAAGGATTAAATGAGTCCATGCATATAGACACTAAAACAGTGCCTGGCACACAGAAAGTACTCCATAAAGGTTAGATGATGGTTTCATTCAAATGTATTGAAGCTAATTGCCACCAGTGCAGTAAGGAAGTTGTGTATTAGCATAAAAGAAGTAGAAAGAGTCCCACATAACCTGGGGAGGTGACTAGATAAGTGCCACAAGGTGTCTCTGTATGCAGGAGGAGTATGTGAGCACAGAGGTCTCACCTTTGGGCTACCCACATCAAAACTATTTCTTGGGAACTTGAGTATGCAAATTAAACCAAAATTTCAGAGCTCCAAAATATTTATAGGAGAGTATGCATCTATATAAATGAGTCTTTGCTTTATTTATTTATTTTTTTGCTATTGAAACCAGTGACATATCTCCTATTAAATTAACTTACTACTGATACTCAGTTTTTAGTGAACTCCTCACAAACTCTGTAGACTTTACAGTCTAGTCATTGGCAGTCACTGTTTTGGGCATTGACATAGATGTAGATTTCAGTAAATAAAGATCGATCAAGTAAATAGTCAATGGAGAAAAGAGAAATGATAGAAAAGAACGATAGGTGAGTCACTGGGTAGCAAGTTCAAAGACATGCAAAGTTGAAAGCCACTCCACGTGGCCAGGTGTGGGCCATTGACTACAATTTTTTTTGTAGTTTAAAAAAATTGAAATAATTCACAGAAAGCATGGTATTAGTTTCAGGTATGAGATAATGATTGATGGATATGCATATTGCAAAATGATTATCACAGTAAGTTTTAACTAACATCCATCACCATACACAGTTACAAACTTTTTGTGTTTGATGAGAACTTTTAAGACCTACTGTCTCAACAACTTTCAAAAATAGGATACAATATTGCTATTTAGTTGCTATGCTCTACATTAGACCCCCAGGATGTATTTATGTTTTAAGTGGCAGGTTATTCCATTTCATATACACTCCTCACCACTATCTCCTGCCTCTGGCGGTGAGCGATCTCTCTATGAGTTCAGGGGCTTTTGGGAATTGGTTTTTAATATTAAATGTCAACAAATACATTTTCTGCATCCCACTTCTAGTTTAGTTGTATACAACTCTGACTCCATATAAAAATCAGAATCAGCTGGGGGAGTGTTAAAAAGTACAGATGCCCAGCCTCGAACCCAGAAATTTGATTGCGCTTGTTTGGCAACAGGGTCCAGAAGTTTCTTTTTCTTATGCTCCCCATATTATTCTAATGTGCAGCTACAGTTGGAAAATATCAGTCCTTCTGAGAGTTAATAGTGACAATACTGATGGTGCCTTCTGAGTGGTTATCTCCTCCAATGGGGTCAGAGGGAGGGTACAGAGTAGTTTCTATGGAGTCTATCTGCTTTGGACAGAAAACTTCCAAACACTGGCTGAACTGGTTTTCATCTGGTACATTTTCTCTCATACCTATAACCTCAGAATATTCCAGTCTATTTTAAGCCTTCCTGTGGTTTCTAAGGCACAATACTTTCCAAACGGAAGACTTACCATTTCAAATCTCAGGGGCTATGATTCAATCTAAAGGAGAACTAACTACCTCAATTAATATTGGACATTTCCTTATTGATGAAAAAGATACATGAAAATGCACTGGACTGTAAAGCCCTTCATAAAAGAGTAAGATTGTTTATGTTGTTGTTGTTATCATCACTTGTGTAAACTATAGGAAGGTAGGCAAAAACCATAGGCTATTTGAACCAGGGGATATCATTTATATGTGAATTTAAATTTTTGGCTCAGTTACATTTTAGCTGTGAGTCCTTACCTTCTCTGGGCAAATGGTTCATGAAAAATGGGAGCTTAAGGAGCCCTCAGAAGGAAATTTTGTACCTTAAAGGAGCTAATATAAATGGTGCCTGGCAAGGAATGAGTCCAGAGTAAACAGTGGTTACCCTCCCATATTAGCTAGTGCAATGCTGCTGCTGCATAACAAACAAGCCCTACCAACACAAAATTTTACTAAAGCATTATCAGTTCTCAGTCATGTGTCCGTGGGTTGGCTGTGGGAGTGCCACTTAAGGCTATTAGTCATATCAAGGCCTGTTCCACACGTGTCTCATTCTGGAATCAGCAGCTTCCTGAGGCACGCTCTTCTCATGGTAGATGACAGAAGTATAAGAAAAACTGGTAGAAATTTGCTATGCCTTTTAACATCTCAGAACCATTCACGATCATTTCTGCCCACATTCCCTTGGCCAGAGCAAGTCATGTGGCCAAGCTCAGAGTCAACGGGACAGAGAAACATAATCTACTCAGTGAAGCCATGACACAGTGAAGGGAATAATGTGAACAAATAATATATTCTACTGCACATTCCCTTCCCTTCTGCAAGGAGCCAATAGAGAAAAGAGGGAAAAGGAAGGAGGGAGGAAATAGTTGACTCTCCTAGGAACTTTGTCTTATACCTCATTTGTGAGAGTTGTCTGGCCTCCTTTGTGGAAATAGTCCAAGTGGTCACGCAGGGGGAGAAAAGCTGTTCCCTGGTGGAGTAGCTTCCTGCCTCTTCCTGGGGTCCTTGTGATGAAGGATAAACTACTCAGAGGCAATCTAGAATTCACCAAAGCCTTCTCAACACATCTAAATTGATTTAGAAAGATAAACAGAAGCAATAGCCAGTGAAATTCAGCAAGACAGATTATACTACATACTGACTGTCAAAATAAACAGGTCTTTGTCTAAACTCCACGCTCTCTCTCTCAACGCTCTCTCTCTCAACACCGTTTTAATGTGCAAACACCATTTATGAGTATTTGCTCTAAAAGACAAAATCACTCCATATATAATGGTGATAGGTTAAGAGCCCTTTATTTGAACTCAACACTTCATTTGTATTTCAAAACTGGATGAATAGGTAGCCTCACCTCTGTTATCTAAACAGAGTGTTCTGGCCAAACATGCAGTATGATTAGAGTTACCAAATAGGCCCTGTTATATACAATAGTTGTTGGAAGATTTTAGTGAATAAATCAAAGGTGTTTAACCAAAAATAACTCATAATTAGGATAACTCAGAATATATTTCAAAATGTTAAACTGTGAAAGTCATCTCACTCACTGAAGATCTTTGTTGAAGGATATTAGTAACAGCTGTGTGAGCAGAGGGTGGCAGGCAGTGGCCAGTTACTTATAACCACCTCAAGATGAGTTCTGGAACCATCCTTCCCAGGAGTGGTCCCTGTACCATCAACAACAGAATCAGCAGGGGCTGTTTGTTACAATGCAGATTCCCAGGCAAACCCCCAGACTTAATGAATCACAATCTCTGGATGCAGGACTCAAGAATCTCCATTTTTTGCACACCAAGGATTTTATGAACACCAAGGGTTTTGTATAAAATCAAATGCAGGCAGAGACCCTGCACATTTGATTCCAAGCATCTATAGAAAACATGAGTTTTTTATAATACCAGATGTGGTAAAAATATTTTCTCCATTATTATTATTACTGAACCCTTTTTTGTAACTAAGTTTGTAAAACTTTCATCCAGGGTGCTAGTGTAATAAGGTTTTTGAGCCATTTTTTAAAATCCAACTTGAACATTAGAAACCATATTTCTCATTAAGACCTCTATTTTGGGGCCTCCCCTGGTGGCGCAGCGGTTGAGCGCTGGGTTGCGAAGCTGCCCGCGGCCTCTGTGGCGCCGGTTCGATCCCCGGCTGCTCCCCGGCCCCTGGAGGAGGGTCCCACATGGCATGCAGACCCCTCCTGCCGCCCGCTGCTCCCCTCAGCAGTGTACTTCGGTCCTTCTGCCTGCTCTGCTCCCAGCTCTGGCTCTGGTGAATTCTCTCACCCTCCCGCACTTCTGACTGTACCCAGTGCTTGTACAAATAAATTAAAAAAAAAAATAATAATAAAAAAAATTATTTAAAAAAAAAAAAAAAAAAAAAAAAAAGACCTCTATTTTGATAATAAAATAACTATTTTCTTCTCATTTGCTCAAATGCCAATAGCCTACAAAACTTTTATAAACATTGTTGGATTAAAGAAAAGCAAATTAAGAGACACTATTGTGAAGGATGGGCGACGGTTTCATTGGTATGTTAAATTTAGCGCCTTCATTTCCTGATGGATAGATGATAAACAGCCTTTTTGTGGTGTTTTCAGTGGATGAACTGTCTCCAGTGAAGGTAGTGTAACCACTTAAAACAGAATTATCTTTCATTTTCCACTTAGTAAGTGCATTTTAATATTTTTATCTATGTGCACAGGATAATGAAAAGCATTAACTGCTTCAATAAATGAATTAAACGGAAGGATGATTTTGAGAGCTGAGAGAAATATAGAAAACAACTAAGAACAAGTCGACAGGTTCCTTTCTCCCCTTTCCTCCTTCTTTCACCTCTTCTTTAATATATTTACGACTGGAGGTCTTCATCTTTTGTTTTGTTTTGTTTTTTTAAAGATTTATTTATTTATTTATACAAGTACTGGGTACAGTCAGAAGCGTGGGAGGGTGAGAGAATTCACCAGAGCCAGAGCAGGAACAGAACAGACAGACAAAATACACTGTTGAGGGGAGCAGCGGGCGCGGCAGGAGAGGTCTGTGGCACCATGTGGTACTGCCAGTCGCCAGGGATCGAATCCGTGCTGCAGAGGCTGCGGGCAGCTTCTCAGTCTAGCGCTCAACTGCTGCGCCATCAGGGGAGGCCCTGGAGGTCTTCATCTTAATGGCTTCCCACTTGAAGTTGTGTGGAAAATGAATTTGAATCATATGGGAGATTCTGAAAACTTACTGTAATACTGAACACAAAGATATAAAAAGGGAACATGTATTTCCCAGATTAAGGATGTCACTGAGATATTGAAAAGAATCTTCATTTATGCCGGTTTTAATCTTATTAGCCAATATAAATCTTTCTAAAAGACTAGTAACCATTGCTCAGAGGGGAACTATCTAGGAAAGAAATGCAAAAAGGATATTTTCAGCACCATGAAATTTAAGGACTAAGAGAACTAGAATAGGAAAGATGAAGATAAGGCTCAGGAATTTAAAGATTTTATGTGCTTGGACTTGAGAGTTTTTTCATCTTATTTTATGACAAGTGAAGATATTTTATGAGTGGCAAGGAAAAAATAATGGTACTTCCAAAATGATTTCAAGGGTATAAAACATTCTCTGTGAAAATAGCACGATCTTCCCTGACCAAAAGGGCTGAAATGTCAAGGGTTCAGATATGCCCAACAAGCATTTATTTCTGTTTTGAACATTCCTAAATGACTTGCCTCAACATATCCTCCAGCATTTTTCAGAGAGGCCAAGGGCTTAAGAGGCCCGGGGGTTTAATCTAACATTTCTTGGTTCACAAACAGCGCTAACATCAAAGATTGAGTGTGCAGTAGTTGAACAGAAAACAGCCCGTCTGTTCAGCCGCCCTGTGATTTTCCCCGCAGCCTCCAACAGATTGGGATATTATTACAGTGCTCCCTAAAGTAAGGGTCTGATTGAAAGCTGATTCTGTTTTCTTTTGGTAGCTGTTAATACTCTAAAAATAAAATGAGTATCAATGCAACCACATTAATTCCAACATTCAGAGAAGCAACAAACTTTCTACTTTTACTGTACATGGTAGGATCATTTCTGGCTTTGGTACACATCTATGCATAATTAAATGTTGACTATATCTGCATCTGGATGCCTTTTTTTTTTTTAAAGATTTATTTATTTATACAAGAACCGGGGTACAGGCCAGATGTGCAGGAGGGTGAGAGGATTCACCAGAGACAGAGTGGGGAACAGAACAGGCAGGCTGATGAAATACACTGCTGAGGGGAGCAGCAGGCGAGACAGGAGAGGTCTGCCATGCCACGTGGGTTGCTCTGCAGCCAGTGAGGATCGAACCGGCACTTCAGAGGATGCGAACAGCTACACAGTGTCGCGCTCAACGCCTGCGCCACCAGGGAGGCACTGGATGCCTTTTTTTTGTTTGTTTGTTTTTGTTTTTGTTTTTATACATACACTGGGTACAGTCAGAAGCGCGGGAGGGTGAGAGAATTCACCAGAGCCAGCGCGGAGAGCAGAGCAGGCAGAAGGACCGAAGCACACTGCTGAGGGGAGCAGCGGGCGGCAGGAGAGGTCTGCGCGCCATGTGGGACCCTCCTCTGGTGGCCGGGGAGCAGCTGGGGATCAAACTGGCGCCGCAGAGGCTGCGGGCAGCTTAGCAACCCAGCGCTCAACCGCTGCGCCACCGGGGAGGCCCTGGATGCCTTTTTCTGAAATGAATCCTGCACTTTAAAATTGACCTACATGGATATTTTGCTTATATGAAGAGAGAAAGATTTTTACCCTTATTCATTTTAGTGAAGGCTACTCTGTCCGAAGGACTCTGGACTTGTGTGTATGATTGTGACTACAATAAATAGGGCACCTCCTAGAATGCCTAATATGCTCTCAATTATTACTACTAATTACTAATATGTTCTCAAATACAGTGATTTTAGATGGAACCAGGATAGCAAATTTGCACAGATATACAAAAATCTATTTTGGCCACTGTGGGTATGAACCAGAATTTTGTAAGATGTAAAGCCAAGTTCTGGTGGCTCAGTTCAGGGATTCAGAGATGTCTCAGTTGATATTTCATTCTGAAGGTCTTTCAAAACCCCCACGGTTCTCTGAATGGAGTACCCTTCCCTGTCTTTACAACGACTGGCAGAGACTTGATCTCTCCAGTGTAGATTCCCAAAGCTTTGAGGGCAGAAACGTCATCCTAATCATCTTTCAGTTTTTTATAACACCTAGTTCAGGGCCATGGACCTAATATGCACTTGAATATTGGTAGACCTGTATCACATCAGGTTTTAGACAACCAGAAACTAAAAATAAGACCAAGGGTTGTGGTACATTAGTGTTAGTGTAGTTTATAGCAACTGTTGTATATATGTTTTTTCAGTGTGGGGCTTTAAACTTTTCATTTTTATCACTTGTGATCTTATGCAAGCCCTCATGGGTTGAAAGGGTGGGTAGAGACATCCTACACTACATTCACTTTCCTCATATGTTATGGGCACATGTAGTTGCTGTGTCACCAAACCATCAGTGTTTTGATGCTGACAATTGACCAGTTTTTTTAGAATGACATCGACAGACCTGACAGTAGGTTATGTTGCAACGATCCATGTGGGATGTTTTGCAGTCAATTGTGTTGAAGAGTATTAAAATAGTAGGTAAGTATGTGTTAAAACAGTAGGTAACTTTTATTGAGCACTCTTATTATGATGGGTAGTTATTCCCTCAAACTCCATATAGAGAATAATCTCCATTTTTCAGATGAGGAAACTGAAGTTAAGTGACTTAAGTCCACTTAAGGTCAGGTAGTGTCGCTCCTGGGGCTGCGCTAGCTAGGATATGTCGCAGAAAGGTACCTACTACTTTGTTTTGTTTTTTTTTTTTTTTTTTCATAAAAGTAGGAGAAATGGTCAACCAGGAAAATACAAAGGAAGTCACCTACAAATCTCCCTTATTAGAGTAATGGAAAACTGAAATGTTCTAGATGTGCCAAGACTTGGAGTATCTTAGAAATTATGAAATTGCTTTATTTCTGTCCTGGGCATTTGCTCCATGAAGTCCTGGCATATCGACCTAAAAGGGAACATGTTCCATGAAATTAAATAGTGTTTGTCAAACTGTGTGTGGGCAGAACTCTAGAATTGTTTCCAGTGAGTAACAAAGGAGTTTTTCTTTAGTCTGCTAGTCTCCTGAGAGCTGATGCATTTCTTGGCCGTACATGGAGCATCCTAAAAGAAAGGAGACTTCTCTAGCTGCACACTTCCAACTATTAGTTTGGGAAGCTTTCTGGAGCTTATAGCAAATGGACAATTACACATGTGTGCAATAAGAGAGAGAGGAGCGAGATGAGCTGACACAGAAAGTCCTTGAGAATGTACTGGCATTAGAAAGGCTTTTAGAAACCAATCACTAATGCAATATGATTAATTATCTTAAAAGTAGCTTGTAGTGTGTTTCCTGAGCAGCACCAGAGGTCATTTCAAACAAAGTAAATAAACCACAGCTAATGTGCTAACATTTTAAAGAGAAAAGACAATCGCTAAAAATGTCCATGCAGCTTCCATTACTACAGTCATTGGAAATAGGAATGTGCCTGTCCATCTCAAGTGGCATAAGCAGTATGTTCTTGATCAAACAGATTTAGCCATTAGTTGGGGGGAATTTAAGTTTCTCTGCCCTGCGACAGAAAGAGATGTCAGGTGAAAAGCTGCAATTTTTCACCCCTGACCAGTTCACCTAAGAGGAATAACAGGATTTCTATATAAACAAAGCAATTTTGAGCCCCTGAGCCTCAAATTAGGTCTGGAAAAAGCAACATCAGCATAATCAAGACATTCATTAGAAATGCAGAATCTCGTGTTCCCCTCCCTCCCCAGACCTAACTGAACCAAGATCTGTTTTTAACAGGAAGTGTTAAGATTTACATGCTTGTTAGTATTTGAGATGCACTAGTCTAGATGAATATTTAAACATTTGCTAGAAGAGAGACCTGGTTAAGAAAAGAAGAAAATGCTACCTGATAAAAGCATCTAACTTTGGGGGCATCCCTGGTGGCGTAGGGTTTAAGTCTCAGCGTTATCACAACGATGGCCTGAGTTTGATCCCTGGCCTGGGAGCTAGCCCACAGACCACGCAGCAGACCTCCCCTGTTTCGCCCACTGCTCCCCTTAGCAGTGTATTTCAGTAGCTCTGCCTCTTCTGCTTCCCACTCTGTCTTTGGTGAATCCTGTTATTCTCCCCGCTCACCTCTGGCCTACACCCCAGTTCTTGTACCTCATAAATAAATCTTTTTTAAAAGAGTACCTAACTTTGCAAATATGTATCGATTTTGATAAACTTGCTCCTAGTCACTAAATTCACCCTTGAAGTAAAAACTTAATAGGCCTTATGGTGTTCAAAATGCCATCTAGATAGAGGCAGACTTGAAAGAACAAAACTTTAATGTAATTATCACACAGAAATTATTTAAAAGAAGCTCTTTCAGGCTAAGGTTACCAGGCACACTCAGCCTACAAGGGGGCACAAAATGCTGAGGACTACGATGCACTTGGAGGTAGAGACTTTGGCCAAACTTAGCCAGAGCAAATACTGAACTTCTGCCAGCTTCAGCGAGCTGTGATTGTCCAAGACTGATGTGAAACATCTGGACCAGGTTTGGCAGCCACGTGCAAAACTGCTGGGGGAAAATGCTATGTGAAACTGTTCACACCCACAGCATAATTGAGAAAATTTCCTTTGAGTCGTCTTTGTTTGTTTGATACCAAGTGAACAAATTTCATTTCTCTATAGGGATAGTTTCATTCCAATGTCCTGTAAGAGGGAAATTGCTGTTTCCACTTTACCACGTGTGCGCTCCATGAACATTCAATTGCTTATTTGAGGCTTTATCTGGAATTGGCATGAAGAGACTCATCCCAGGGCATGAATTTGCGTGGGCACTGGCTGAAGCTGCAGAAATAATGGGCTAAAAATAGACTGCCTATATCTCTAACTCATCAAATGACCATCTAGGCTTACCAACTAAGAAAGATTCATGTGACACTGCTTTTACCTCTGGCAAACTCAGCTAAAATCACTGTTTAGTAAACTCCGTAACAGGCAAAGCATTTAGCTTCCTTTTAATTTTTTCATGAGAAAGTGTATGTGTTTTAAAACCAGGAAAATGTGTTGTTATTTTTTCCTTCCCTGAAGCAAACCCACATTTGTTCTTTGGAAAGCTCTTGCACTGACATATTCCTGACTAGAGTGACATTTCGCTTGTCTTACCACAGGTCATCTTAGAACAAGGTTCAGATAAAATGGATAGTCAAAGTCAGTAGTTCTTTCTTTTTGCATGCTGGGGTGGGGCTTGGGTGGTGGGGTGCGGAGAAATATCGTACATTTGTAGAGGTATAAGCCTGTATGCCTAAGACATATACTGTGATATAAATCAGCATTACCTCAGTAACTTAAAAAAACAAAAACAAAAGTCAACATGGTATCTAATTTCTCTGGGTTGGTGCAGATGGACTTTAGAAATACAAACCCAACTTTCATTCTAGTTAAGGAACAATGTTGCTTCAAAATACACAAACGAAAAGTGCCTCAAATCAAGTCCCCCAAACCTACTTGGAATTTTTGCAGTGCCAAGACAGCTGCTTATTACTGTCCATTTCCCTGCCAGAGTGCCCTTTGCATCTGAAGAGCAAAGAGGTGATAGTGTTACCATGTTTGTAAAACTATGAGAAAAGTTGATAAATAATTGATAACCACTTTCACAGCAAAGAACACATTCATCCGAGCATTTAGAAGCTGCTATTTGCACAATCAGGTGACAATTCACAAAGTGTGGTAGGTAACCTCCAGAACAGTCCCCAGGGGTCCCCTAATATTGTCCGATCTAGTTCCCTGAAGTGGTGGTTGGGTTTAGTAGTGACTCTCTTCTAATGAATAGAATAAGGCATTAGTGATGGTAACTTGAGACGTGGTCATAAAAGGCAGTGTGGTCTCTCTCTGTCTCTGTCTCTCTCACTGATCATCATCATCACCATCATCATTATCATTCTCTCTGGGACAAGCCTGTGGCCGTGTGTGAGCAACCCTATGGAGAAGTAAACATGATAAGGAGCTGAGGCTTCCGGCCTCAGTGCTTTTGGAAGGGGGTCCTCCAGGCTCATCAAGTCTCAGACTTATGTAGTGCTGACTGACACTTTGATTATGTGCTTCACACACAGAAACAACAAGGTAATCGCTTATTGTTTCCAGATGTTAACTTGTGGGGTAATTTGCTACACAGCAATGGATAACTAACATGTAGGTATATTATGCTTCTAGATTTATCCTCTCATTTATTCTGCAGGTGTTTACTGAGAAACTACCAGATGCCAGGCACTAAGCAGAAGTCAGTATCTACTGAACATAAACATACATTAAGGCATATCTAATTCCTGCCAGTAGATACATAGCACCTAGGGAAGGATATTAACCTTGGAATTTTGTATGTGGCAGTCATCTTTGGAAACACAATCTACCACTAATGTCCCTACTGTACACTTGCTATTTATATATTAGTCGCTCAATAGATATATGTAGATGGGAAATTTCTCTATAAATTGTGCCTACTTGTGTTCTTTGAAAATGGGGATGACGTTACAAGGCTCCCTTGCTTTCGACTGGATGATTTTATCCCTCTCCAAATTCAAATATTGAAACCTAATGTCCAAGGTGATGGTATTAGGAGATGGAGCCTCTGGGAGGTGATGAGGTTAGGAGGGTGGAGCCCTCATGAATGGGATTAGTGCCTCCTAAAAGAGACCCCAGAAAGATCCTGTACCTCTTTAGCCATGTGAAGACACAGTGCGAAGATGGCCATCTCTGAACCAGGAACAGGCCCTCCCCCAACTCTGAATCTGCCAGGGTCTTGATCTTGGATTACTGCTTCCAGAACTGTGAGAAATTGAGAAATTAATTTCTGTTATTTATAAGCCACTAGTCTATGGTATTCTGTTACTGCAGCCCGAAAGTAATGAGACTCTTCAATCCACTATTTACAATCTGCAATTTTTCACTCAATCATCCACTCAATCACTAGATCTTTTAAATTCTCCTTTCTAAACATCTTTCATATTCTTTCCTCCTTTGAAATTACCCTTTCACTCTTAGTTAAGGTCAACTCATCATCTCTTTTTGACTTTTTCTTATATTTCTGCTATTCTTGCCTTTAGTCTCCCTGACTTCACTCTCATATTCCATGCTCCATTATGCCAACAGAGTGATTTTTCTAATATGCAAATCCTATCTGTTTCCATTCTATCTAGACTTTCTCAAAGCTTCTTAAATTTTTGTATGGACTTGTGACAGATCCCTGCCAAGGTATCTACCTTAACCTCCTGCCATTCCTTTTGTTGCCCTTTATATTTCAGGAATACTGAATGATTTACAAATTCCCAAATGTACTCATCAGGCCTTTGTGATTCCTACATGCTATTCCTAGCACTTGGAACACTGGTTAATCTACTGTTAGTGGGGAAAACTTATTCCCTACTACTGAGTTTCCATTCTATGTGAAGGGACAACTATTAGTGTAGCACACCTGTATTCCCTACCCCTGAAATAGAAATAGACTTACTTGATTGGTGAATTTGGGAAGGATTCAGTTAACTGATCCAAGCCAATTTGACCATTCTTCAGTAGTCAGGCTCTTCTGTTTCATTTGAGTAAGCTCTAGCAACAAAAAGTAGAAGGGTGAGATATATAGCATAGCTACTAGTTGGTTGTTTTTTTTTTTTTAAAGATTTATTTATTTACACAAGCACTGGGTACAGTCAGAAGCATGGGAGGGTGAGAGAATCCACCAGAGCCAGAGAAGGGAGCAAAACAGGCAGAAAGACCAAAGTACACTGCTGAGGGGAGCAGTGGGTGGCAGGGGAGGTCTGCGCGCCATGTGGGTCCCTCCCCTCGCAGCCGGGGATGGAAATGGTGCTGCAGAGACTGCAGGCAGCTTCGCAACCCAGCGTGCAACCGCTGCACCACCAGGGAGCCCCTAGTTGGTATGTTTTAATAAAAGCAAGTCTTAGACCAAATCCCACTAAGTGTATATTTATTAGCAAGTAGGAACAAAAACAGCTATACAATATACTCTTGTAAAGTTAAGGAAGTTCCACTTTCTATCATTTTGCATTTTAGCAGTCATCTCACAGGAAAGGTTCACTCCAATATAGACACAAAATATTGTGGTGACAGGACTGGTCAGTCCTACAGTGAGGTTTCCAGCTAAGTTCTCCATGACATGATCGGCACAAGACCAATGAGGTTTTAGATCCAGGGTGCTTTCTCCAAAAATATTAGAGAGCTCAGCGTGCCAGAATCTTAAGCCAGATTCTTAAACCTCATATGTGCAAAAGTTGGGCCGGTATAATCTTCCTAGTCTGCCACATATATATCAAATATTGGTCAATTTTACCAGTGAAAAATTATTTCTAGCATATTTATTACAAAATCCTCTGAGTATAAATTTAGAAAACAATATTGGGGCCTCCCTGGTGGCGTAAAGGGTTAAGACGCAACCTATGAAGCTATCCGCAGCCTCTGTAGCACGAGGTCTATCCCAGGCCAGGGAGCTGCCCACATGGCGCAGCAGACCTCTCCTGATTCGCCCACTGCTCCCCTCAGCAGTGTACTTCAGTCAATCTGTTCTGTTCCCCGCTCTGTCTCTGGTGAATCCTCTCACCCCCCACACCTCTGGCCTGTACCCCAGCTCTTATATGCATAAATAAATAAATCTTTTAAAAAAAGAGAGAAAATATTGGTAGTGCTTAAATCTCTCTGGAATGTGAATTCTGGATTAGGTGTTTCAAATGCTTATTAACCACCCCTAGGGATTAGACTACAGTTCACATACAGTCATACACATTTACGTCCCACCAGACATACAATATATGGTTAAGTGTTGTTCAATCCCTCCTTTCTGGGGTTCAAACTGCCCCCAGGGAGCCACCATTTTCATCCAAGTTTACAGCAATAGGCTCTGCCCCTGCAATGGGCAAGGTCTACTCTGGTTCAGGGATGCTTGGTGGGCAGATTGGTCTAATACTGAGATTCAGCATCGGCAAACCCATTTGTTAGCAGGTATAAGCCACATTCTCTAATATAATCTGTAATATTTTGGTATCTAACTGCCAATTTCTTTGTCTTATTTTATAATTAATTCAGATTTCAAGTGGTGAAGAGCTATCTATTGGGCCCTGTCAAACACCCCAACTCCAAACTGGCATGTTCTTGCCCACTGAGTCATTCATGAACCTTCTTGGTAGACCTTTGGACTCTTGGCTGTTCATCTTCTACTCCCACTCGAAAGCCAGCTCTGAGTCCACATCTCTGTATTCCCGGCATCTGACATGCAACCTGATACACTGTAGGTGCTCAGTGAATGTTTGTTTAATGAATGAATCATTATTAGGAGGATATGCTCCTTGAGGGACTTTGCAAAATTGTTGGTGACTGTGACTTCATTAACCACCTGCCTGAAATAACTGAGATAACCAACCTCAGATGACTCAGGCAAACACAAAAAATTTCCTAGAAACGAAGACTCACAATTTTCAGCTTTGTTGATTTGTGTCGGTATATTTATCTTTTCCATTATTTATTGAGAGCAGTAACTATGCTCTTTTAATAAAGAAATATACATATAAACCACGTGGTCATTTCATTTAATGTTGGTTTAATCCCAGAGGCTAATCTAATGAATTAGTTGATTTCCTATGTTTTGGGGTCATCTTATCGTCCACTAGGAGTTCTAGAGCAACCTCTAAAACCATTGGTTCATATTTTTGCCCTACATGTGAAATGCACTTATTTGAGTCATTCATTGTTAGTAACTAAAGCACAAATTCCTTTTTCAAGACATTAAATTTGGAACACAGACATTATGAAGCTTGTGTTCCAATTCCAAAATTATTGACACCAGCTAGTAATGTGACTTTGAATAAAGCTTTAAATACTCTGTGCCTTGGTCTAGTTTTCCAATCTGTAAAATGTAGATATTAACATAAGACCTCAATCATTTATTCAAATGTACGTGGTGTGTGGATGCCAGTGAGGCAGGTAAGGGGCTCACCTTTGGAGCAATTTTAAGGGGAGGGCACCAAAAAAAAAACTCAATAATCAAGAAAAAAATTTCAATGCAATACTTCTGAAATATCAAAATTACTGCAAAAAAAAAATCCATGATGACCAAAATATCAATATCTAAAGGTAGAAATATTACTGTTCACTTTTCCTTTTGCCTCTAGCTCCACTATGGTTCCACTTAGCACTGATATTTTAAAGATTTTTAATCTTGAATTTTTAAAGAAAACATGGTATTGAAATATTATTCATCTTGATTGCTAAGTATGTAAAAAAAATTATAGCATTTCATTCCAAGGTGGTATAACATGGTGGTTATGCTCATAGGCCAGCATTCGATGCTCTGGGTTCAAATCTTGACTCTATTACTAGCTGTGTAATCTTGGGCAAGTAATCCTTTTTTTCTTCCTTTTTATTTCCTTGTTTGTAAAAGTGAGAATAACATCATACCTATTTCATCGATTCATGAGGATGAAACAAGACATACTGAGTCCTGAGAATAGATCCTGGGTGTAATGAAAACTCAAAAAAAATTAGCTGTAACTAGAAAATACTCATTTCCAGGCAAGGAGGTCTACCAGATAAGATTAAAGCAAAAGCTCTTCTAGGCAAACTGGTAAAAGATGTGATGATTTTTATCTTTCTCTGTCTTGTCACTCACTGTCCCAAAGCACTTTCCCTTAGTTCCAGTTGAACAGGAAAATCTGTTTCATCCTTGGCAGTTCTTCCAAATTCAGCAGACTGTGACTGGATCACTTAGAAAGTTAATGGACAATTCCTGGCTCATGGACAAATGTACAAATCCTCATCATTTTCCCCCAAACCTTTGATATCAAGAATGACAAGAGGACACTATAATGTTCCTCCTTGGAATGTACAAGGAGTCTTTTATTCACATTGTTTCAGAGGGAGCCAATATGAGCCCTTTGAGGTGGGTAGAAATAACCTTCCTTTACCTTACAAAACCCTGGGAATAGAAGCACAGAGTGAAACTGGGATGAGCACATTTCTTTTTATTGGGTTGAAGACATACAAGGAGATAATTTGCTTTTTTTTTTTTTAAGATTTATTTATTTATTTATACAAGCACTGGGTACAGTCAGAAGCGCGGGAGGGTGAGAGAATTCACCAGAGCCAGAGCAGGGAGCAGAGCAGGCAGAAGGACCGAAACACACTGCTGAGGGGAGCAGTGGGCGGCAGGAGAGGTGTGCGCGCCATGTGGGACCCTCCTCCGGTGGCCGGGGAGCAGCCGGGGATCGAACCGGCGCTAAAGAGGCTGCAGGCAGCTTCGCAACCCAGCGCTCAACCGCTGCACCACCAGGGAGGCCCGATAATTTGCTTTTTTGAATTAACAAGACTCCACCACTTTGGTTTGGGTCAACTGGATGTTCTGGGAGGATCTAAAAGATACAATTCCTGCTCCCATAATTTATTTCTACAAATCTGTCTACTTTGATGTGGTTGAAAAAAACATTCCACCATTGCTAAAGAACTTCTGTTTTCCCAATTGTCTAAAAATTTAAATATGGACTAGCAATAGATATTTATGAATTGTCATTAATTTTGTTAATTATGATAGCAGCATAGTGGTTATATAAGTAAAAGCTGTTCCTGTCCCCCTTCACTCCCTCCTCTCTCTCCCTTTCTCTTTTCCTCCCCCTCTCCCTTGCTTCCTTCTTTTCTTTTGAGATACATACTAAAGGGAAGAGACATGTCAACTATGATTTGTTTTAGAGAGAAATTGCCCTCTCCCCAAAAGGAACAAAACTGTGTGTGGAGTACTTGATAAAGCAAAAAAATAACAAAGTATTAGTGGTTGTTGAATCTGGGTGGTATGTCCAAAGGGATTTCTTGCATTCTCTACTTTTACCGAGTCTTGGGGAATTTCTCAATAAAATAACACATTTTTCTATTTTCAGAGATTGATTTTTCAATTTTCCCTTGGCCCCCTGGGCAACAGGCTGGTATCATCCTTTCTCTACCAGTCTGCTGGTATGGATTACAGGTGTGGCAGACTTAAAGACACCCTTACTCCTTGGAGACTACCAAGGGGCTAACGCAGAGGGTGAGGTTCTTGAAGTGTCAAGAATTCCTATCCTGGTAGACCCCAGTCTTGAGTAGCCTCATCTAACTACCCCAGAATGCTGTTCTTTCTTTGAAAGCCAAATGATTAAAAAAAAAAAAAAAAAAACCTGGTTCAGGAATTTTTCCTATTAAGATATAAACACCTTCCTGAGAGAAGTTAACTCAGTAAACTAATTTCAATTCTTAACACCTCAGCTAACAGCTTTTAGACTTTGGTGGCCCAGTGACACCTCTCCAATGATGGGGGAGTTTTGAACCTTGGCCAAGACTGGGTGGGATAAGATGCTTTGGGAAGCTAGTAATCTGGTTGCTGGGTTCCAGAGTGAGTAGGCCTGAGGAAAAGATGGGAAGAAAGATGCTGAGAGGTTAGAGCCTGTGGTGGTGGTTGTGGTAAGAATTGGGCCAGGAGTGTCCCAGGGAACCTCAGAAGGAAAATTTCCTCCAGCATCATATTCTCTGATTCTCCTCAGAACCAGGTGTTTTTCAGACTGCTATGGAGCAGTGTCTTAAATAAATTTCACACAGAGGAGTGTTTCTGGTATTAAAGAGCCAAACTCAGAGGAGTTTTTGTTTTGAATCAGATGCCCCAAGTGAATTTTTACTCCTTTATCTTAATTTGGGTTCCCTCAGAAGCAGAAACTGAGACACAATGACCACACCAACCCTGGACTGATTTACTTTGTACATTTAAAAAAAAAAGGAAGGAAGGAGGGACGGAGGAAGGAAGGAAAGAAAGAAAAGAGAGAGAGAGAGAGAGAGAGAGAGAGAGAGAAATGACGAACAGATGGACTATATTTCTGTCTTATTTAAGCCACAGTTATTTTGGATTTGTAATTCCCAACCAAACTGGATCCTAACTGAATCAGAATCCTACCCAAGGTGGCCAGATCCTGAGGGGAAGTCCAACTCTAAGGCCTCAGCAAACACTTTGAGTTGAACCAAGGAAGCTAAGGTCTTTCCAAGCCAAAGGGGCAAGAATAAAGTCAATAGAAGGCCAGAAACTGGAATGGAGCCCAAAGGAGCAAATAGAAGGCTGGGCACAAAGCTAGGAGTTGCTTGCCTTTATTGATAGTAATGCACAAAGGAACACACAGGGGCAAAAAAGAGACTAGAAATTCACTTGTTCAGATTGACCCATTAGGCATCAGAGGTGAGGAGAGTGAGAAGTGAAGGAAAAATGATTCTAGGTCTCTGGTGTGGGAACCTGGAAGGATGGTACTATCATTTTGAAAGAGGGCATTCAAGGGAGAGAGAGATTTGGAAAGATACAAACTATTTGGACAGGTACATTTTTGGATCCATTAGGGGTAAGGTGCTCATGGGAGAACTAAGTGGAGGTATTCACTGGACTGTTTGTTGAGTATAGACTCTACAAAAGAGTTTGTTGGGTATGGACTCCACAAAAGAGAGTAGGCTAGAAATATCAACCTGGGGGCCTCCCTGGTGGCGCAAGGGATTAAGCACCACACTATGAAGCAATCCATAGCCTCTGCAGCACGAGTTCGATCCCCAGCCAGCCAGGGAGAAACCCACATGGCGAGGCAGACCTCTCCTGTCTCGCCCGCTGTTCCCCTCAGCAGTGTATTTCAGTCAGTCTGCCTGTTCTGTTCCCCACTCTGTCTCTGGTGGATCCTCTCATCCCCCGCATCTCTGGCTAATATCCCAGTTCTTATATGCATAAATAAATAAATCTTTAAAAAAAAAAGATCAGTCTATAAATAGGCTTTGATAGCAAGGATATCTCAGGAGATTATGAGATGAGAAGACAACAGCTGGCAACATCTAAGTAGAGGAAAAAAGACAAGGAGCCTGTGAGGAAGAATGGGATGAAGTGTCAGGGAGACGAGAGCTAAACAAGTGGGGCGGTACTGCCAGAGGAAGGAAGAATTTCAGAGTCACAAGCCATGTGAAACAAGACACAGACATGTCTAACAAAGCAAATGCCATTGGTGCCCAACCCATATTCCCTCAGCCTTTACCAATGTATGCAGTCTGATTCTAGACTTTTTTCTGACTTCCAGAGCCTGTTCTGCCAATGGACATGGCAGACTAGAAGGGCCAGGGAATTAAGCTCATCCCCTCAATTAGCCTTCAAATAATGATTGACAAAAGTTGGTGTGTACCAGTGAGAATAGCACATATTAAAAAAACCAGCAACAACAAATGTTGGCGAGGATGTGGAGAAAAGGAACTCTCCTGCATTGCTGGTGGGAGTGCAAACTGGTCCAACCACTATGAAAAGCTGTGTGGAGATTTCTGGACCTACTAAAGATAGAGCTTCCATAGGATCCAGCAACTCCACTCCTAGGTATTTACCCAAATGACACAGAAACATTAATTCCAAAGGGCACCTCACCCCTATGTTTACAGCAGCACTATTTACAATAGCTAAGCTATGGAAACAACCCAAATGCCCAAAAATAGATGACTGGATCAAGAAGATGTGGTACATATACACCATGGAATATTACTCAGCAATCAAAAAAGATAAACACATGCAGTTTGCAGCAACATGGATGGAGCTAGAAGGGATCATGCTCAGCGAAATAAGCCAGAAAGAAAAAGAAAAATACCGGATGGTCTCACTCATAGAAGGAATCTAGAAAACCTAAATAAGGGACCAGGAAAAAGACTAATTAATACAAAGTAAAAATCAAAATCAACAAGCAACTATAAACCAGAGACACACTATGGTGGGGGGCGCCATGGGGAGAGGAAGGATTAGGGTCAAAATAAGGGGGGGGTGCAATTGTATGGGGAATATAGCCAAAATGAAAATGCATACATTGTGCAAAAATGAAAAATGATGTAAGAATTATATAAAATAAAATGTTAAAAAATAAATAAAATATATAGTGAAAAAAAAAAAGTTGGTGTGTAACTGCTCCAACTCCCTTACCCCCTGGTGACAAAACTATGACTTCCCAGAGTTCTCCAGCTTGATTAAACTCTGGTTGCCCATAGCAATAACTCACTGGAGAACACAGTGTTGAGCTCCTTCCTTTTCTGTCTCACATCTTCACCTCTTTACATGTATTTCCTGGGATCACCTCTCAAATAAACTACTTACATTGGAATTCTTGTTTCAGGTTCTGCTTTTAAGATATCTAGAAAGATAAGGCCTGGGAAACATCCACTGGATCTGACAGTCAGTTCATTGGTAACTTTAGTGAGAAAGTTGCAATGGAATAGAAGGGAGAGATGCCACATTTCAGGGAGATAAGGAACGAACAGGAGTGATGGGGAAACACTGCAGGGCAAAGTTACCCACAAAAGAGACATAGTGGTGACATTACATTTTGGTACCATAGGATTTAATTCCCCCTCCCAACAACACACTAATAGTTAAGGGGCCTCACCATTCTCCCACGCTGTTTTGCTTTGGAGAGAGGTGGTGTTTATCACTTTTGATGAAAGTCAGAGAGTCAGTCCCTTCACGCTGATGCAGAAAGGTGACTAGGCTAGACCGTGGGGCACCCTCCCCGGCTCTTTGAACCTGAGTGACAGAAGAATATGAGGATTGGTTAGAGGTCATTCATCCCAGTACCCCAGTGCTAACCAAGCTTTTCCAACCCTTCTCTTTGTCTCCCAAATCCTTGTAACAAATTAACTTTTTCTTAAGATTGCCTGAGGCAGTTTCTGCAGCCAAGAGCACTGATTTATTAGAGGACTCTATAAAGATTTCAGAGTTAGTGAGATTTCTATTCAGATTTTTGTTAAAAGTCTAAAAAGCCACCTGTATTGCACTTTTTGTGATTTTTCTTTTTTCCCCCAAATCTATTGATATGATAAACTTATATAACATTATGCACGCTTAAGATGTACAATGCGATGATTTGATATACCTATATATTGTGAAAAGATTACCACAATAAAGTTAGTTAATACCGCCATCGCCTCACATAGTGACTTTTATGTGCGTGTGGGGGGATTATTATGGGGGGGTGATAATATTGAAGACTCTCTTAGTAACTTTCAAGCATATAACAGTACAGTATTGTTAACTATTATCACCATGCTATACATCAGATCCTTAGAACTTATTTGTCTTATAACTCTCAGTTTGTGTCCTTAGACCAATTCCCCCCCACCCCCACCCATTTTCACCAGCCGCAGCCCCTGGCCACCACCAGCATGACTTCATGAGTTCAGTGTTTTTAGATTCCACATGTGAATGAGAACATACGGTATTTGTCTTTCTCTTGAAGTCCATCCACATTGTTTAAAAAAGGTGGGATAGCCTTCTTTTTTATGGCTGGTAAATATTCCACAGTACAGATTATACTACATCTTATTTATCCATTTTCTGTCAATGGACCCTGAGGTAATTTCCATGTCTTGGTTATTAGGAACAATGCTGCAACAAATATGGGTATAACTACCTCTTCAAGATCATGATTTCATTTCCTTTGGTTATAGATCCAGAAGGGGAATTCTTGGATCACATGATAGTTCTCTTTTTCATTTTTTTAATATCCTCCATACTGTTTCCCATACTGGTTATACTAGTTCATATTCCTACAAACAGTAGGATTCCTTTTCTTCACATCCCAGCCAACACTATTACCTCTTGGCTTTTTGATAATAAACATTCTAATTTGTGAGAGGTGATCTCCTTGTGATTTTTTTTTTAAAGATTTATTTATTTATTTATTTATACAAGCACTGGGTACAATCAGAAGTGCAGGAGGGTGAGAGAATTCACCCAGAGCCAGAGTGGGGGAACAGAACAGGCAGACTTGACAAAATACACTGCTGAGGGGAGCAGCGGACGCAGCAGGAAAGGTCTGTCGTGCCATGTGGGACACTCACTGGCGGCCGGGGATCAAACCAGCGCTGTAGAGGCTGCGGACAGCTTCGCAACCCAGCGCTCAACTGCTGCACCACCAGGGGAGGCCCGATCTCCTTGTGATTTTGATTTGCATTTCTCTGATGATTAGTGATAAGGATCTTTTCAGGTACCTGATGGCTATTTGTATGTCTTTGTGAAAATGTCTATTCAGGTATTTTGTCTATTTATAAATCAGACTATATGATCTTTTAATTATTGATTTGTATGAATCCCTTATGTGTTTTGGATATTAAGCCTTTATTGGATATATATTGTTTGGAAATAGATTTTCCCATTCTGTAGGTTGCCTTTGCATTTTGTTGATTTTTTTTTTCTGTTCATAGATTTTTTTAGTTTGTATAGTTCCATTGTTGATTTTTGCTTTTGTTGCTTATGTGTTTAGTGTCAACCAAAATAATCATTGTCAATACCAATATCAAGGAGCTTCACCCCTATGTTTCCTTCTAAAGGTTTTATGATTTGGGGTCTTACATTTAAATCTTTAATCCACTGCAAGTTAATTTTTGTGACTGGTGTAAGATACAGTTACATTTTCATTCTTTCGCATGTGAATATACAGTTATCCCAACACCTTTTATTGAAATGAGTCATCAGATTTTTTTCCATGATTATAAAAGTAACCTGTGCTCAATGTAGAAAATATAGAAAAAACTTCTGAAGCAGAATTACTTTGATTACTCAAAGGCAACCACTATTCATTTACTTGAGATTGATACCATGTAGGCAATTTAGCATTCAGCTTATAAAATATGAGGACCTCCCTGATGGTGCAGGGGTTAAAGACACAGCGCTATCAAGATAAACGCCAGCCACTGCAGCACAAGTTCCATCCCCAGCCAGGGAGCTAATCCAGATGGTGCAGCAGACCTCTCCTGTCTCGCCTGCTGCTCCCCTCAGCAGCGTATTTCAGGAGATCTGCCTGTTCTGCTTCACACACTATCTCTGGTGAATCCTCTCACCCCTGCATCTCTGGCATGCACCCCGGTTCTTACACACACACACAAAGATAAAGACTATTAAATTACTTTAGTTTTATTAGAGGCTAATTTACTAGAGGTTAATTTGTCAAGAGCTAGTCACCATTTTAACTTGGAATTGTTTTGTTGTAATGTTTTTAAACGGTAGAAACATGAATGTTTAATATGCTGGAGCAAGAAGCCCATGAGAATTTTTAAAAATTGCTTTTCTTAATTAGAAATCAAATTATAGCAAATGAAAGAGATAGGGGATAGGGAAAAGAAGGAAAGCAAACATTCAGGGAGGGGAAAATGACATAAAGTTGGACATGTTAGTAAAAGTGCCTAAAATCCTTGATTCTTACATATGCACAAAATACCTGTGGTGTACAGTGAATTTCTGTCTAGGCAGAGAGGAGAATGTGTATAAAATTGGTACCACAATCACAATAGTTGGCGGGAAAAGTGTGCATCATTTTAACTTTGTGCAAAGTAACAATGCAAAACTTAATACATGAATGCTATGGTTCTTAGACTAAGGAAAGAAATGAGAGCATAAAGCATGTTACAAATAAATTACTGCTATCTCAATGAAAAGAGAAGCTGGTTAGGTTCAAGTAATAAATTCTGAACTTAAAGTATAAATTTATGTGCTTGCTCATATTAACATCTAATAAATATCTTCACAACCACATTTGGCTTATTGATCAAAGTTTGATTTAAGGTTCACTTATCATAAATGAGAACTGAAAGTTCTTTTGCAACTGGACAGGGAGACTGTCTAGTCTCAGTAAGCTATTTTTGAGAACGCTTGAAGAACAGAACAGCATTTTCTTTGCAAACATTAACTAGCCACATCATACAAAATTATTCCCTTTGGACCACATATATCAGGATGGTACCAACTCAGTTTTCCAGATATGGAATGGCTCAATTCTCTCTCCCTGAGGTTGCATAAAAGCACCAGTGGCCCAAGCTAATGTGAAATTAAGCAATCAACTGGTTCTTAGCCAATACAGCTAAACCAGATGGGCTGCTTTAGCAACGTCCAAGTCAATTCCATCTATTTTTTAACCCAAATTTAATAGATTTGTGTGTTGCCTGCCTTTTTCATTTGTTAGCCTTAGGAGGGAGAAAAAGAGCACATTTTTAATACCTCCCTTTTCTAAGTATAAAATAATACCCTCCTATTCACAGAAAATGAAAAAAATGATAAAAATGAAATACAGGTCATCACATCATCCATTTTAAAGCTTTAACATTTCTTTTAAGTATTTAAAATATATTTTTATAATGAAAATCATGTTGTTTATATGGTTTTTAAATCTTGCATTATTAAAGATTTTGCGCAACACTATTCCCCCTTACAAATAAGCATTACTGGGGCCTCCCTGGTGGTGCAAGGGGTTAAGATGCAGCACTCTGAAGCAATCCCCAGCCAGGGAGGTGACCCACATGGCACAGCAGACCTCTCCTGACTCTCCTGTTGCTCCCCTCAGCAGTGTATTTCAGTCAGTCTGCCTGTTCTATTCTCCACTGTCTCTGGTGAGTCCTCTCACCCCCCACACCTCTGGCCTGTACCCTGGTTCTTGTATGTATAAATAAATAAACCTTTTTTAAAAAAAGCATTACTTTTCATGTTTACTAGATTTGTCTATGTGTGTACAATGGAAAAAGGAAGATGGCCATTCAGGGCAGGACATGGGCTGAGTGGGTAGTCACAAACAAGCAAATGGCAGGTGAGTGATATATTAAAGGGCCAAAAAGTGGTTATCAGGAAAAAAAAAAGGCAAATCAAAAGAAGGCTCAAAGCTGATGGTAAATAAGCCATGAGGTAGAATTGTTAGCATACAACCAAGGGGTACCCAGAGATCTCAAACTGTTAAGGGGTACACACTCTGAAAGGGATTTGGCCACCTGTACGCACAAAGGCAAAGGAAACATATCCCTAGTGTGACAGATTTTTAGTAGAATTCATGTGCGTAGAGAGAGAATAAAGGATATTCCTAATAAAACTGGAAATTATTCATCCCCTTGTGGGAAAATGCTCAGCCAAACAGGGTTGGCCTGAAGTGGGGCCACTGAGGTCCAAATGCTTGCCACAAGTCTAAGGTAGCTGCTGGTGGGGAACCACAAGAAAGTAGTGAGGCAGGTCTTAGACAGCTGGAACAGAAGGAGAGAAAATTCAAAATATAACATAACCTAACATGTAGTCGAGATAATGGCTGCCATTTTTTCTGCCAAGGAGAAGGAGCAGCCTCTCCCTACATGTCTCTCACTTACATGCCTCTTCCAAGTGTCACTCTTCCCCATGACTCCTTCCATGTCTTGCCTCCAAGGCCCTGGGTCCAAGCCAAAGCGGGAGAAAAGAAACCCAAGCCCACATGTGTTCAATTATAAGCCAAGCATGGCTGCTAACTCCACCTCTATTTCCCCACAACCCCTCATTCAGGAAATCAGAGTCATGGCATGCTGGGAGTTGTAATCCTCAGCACCTGAGATCTCTTCAGTGTGGAGATGTAGATGTAGTCCATAAAACAACCAGAGGATGGAGTTCATTCAGGATGCCACTCCTGGGTTCAGAGTTTGCTCTTACTTCAATAGAATGTTTGGGTGGGGAGAATTTATTCCAGAAGATTAACTCTCCTATAGTTGCAGCTTGCTGTAGGAGCCTCTTCTCTTAGAATC